AACACGGTTGTCCTAATCTGTCAAGTAAAAATTACAGCATCTAAGCTCCCATCCTTCTCTGAAAATATTTATTTATACCAGTGACATGTCAAGGACACAACATTTTTTTAATTTATTTTTTTCCCCAGCAACAAAACCATTAACAGCTGGCTCATGTCCCTGCCAGGAGGGCAGTGGTTAATACACAAAGGGAATTTATAATGTTGTAATGCCCCAGCCAAGCAAAATAAATGCTGCATAGCATTTAAAAAGAAAAAAATCTTGCTACATGCCAGATAAGGAGCATTCAGCCTTGTTTTAGTCAGAGTACAACTGGAATTTTATGCAATTTATCATCCTCACCCCCATTCATCTCCAGATGAGCCTCCACTGCTCTTTTGCAAAGAGGCTGTGTCTAAGTTTTGTGTCTCTGCAGTGTCTGGTAATTAACCATTACAATTCTGATGACACATCAGACACATCATAATTGCTGTAGCTTGAGAGAAGGATTTAAACACACCACAGAGAGTAACAAAGCTGTTGGTTATTCTGCTTCCATCAGCTCTCTCTGAACAGAGGGTATGACACCAGAAGTTGAGAGCTGGGGGAAATGGAGGTGTAGGAAAAGAAGGAAGGAATCCTTGGTATTTTTAAAAGAATAAGTCTCTTTATTCCATATGCATGAACAGATGTTAAAGAACATGGCTTGTCACTTGTCTTTTTTAGAAATTTTAGACTGCACTCTACTTAAAATAATTATTGAACCTTACCTGCCTTCAGTCTAAGACAGGAAGAAAATTAATCTTAATTCTTTGAAATCTTGTGCCCAAATAATTAAAGAACAAAAGTTTATTTCAAATTTGCAACTCATTCTAGTAATCCTAACAATACTTCTTCATTTTTTCTTTTAATTTTTTATCTCTGAGTAAATTCTTAATACTACTTCTTTTTTTTAAGTGTGATAGATTCACCTTTATTTTGAGCCTATGTATTCACATTTTCTAGTTTCTGTGGTGATCTGAATTGTTTTGACTAAAGGATTGCAGTGTCTCATAAAATAAGAAAATGCAATTTCCTCCCTTTTTGCTGTACTAAAATAGACACACTTGCCAAGTGCTCAAAATAAAGTTATAAGAATCTATAGATAAAAAAGTTGGATTCCAGTTTGATATATTACGTGAAGTTACTGAAGTTTCAGACTTACTCTGGATATTCTGGAGAAAGTATTGACAAGAGAGAAGATCTTCTCCAGAAATCAGAAGGTCTGTTCTTTCATGAGCCAAGGATGAGCACAGGACAGGACATGACATGAGGGACATGAACAACATGAGTATTGAAACATTCTCTAGAAATCTGCCATAGCTTGGCTTGATCACTGTGTAAAGCATGGCCACAGCTCTGCTGCCTCTGGGACTAATTGCTGAAGGAACTGCTTTCAGAAGGGTGACACTTTCTCAATAACTATGACTGTTGCCTCAGTGCCAGAAGTGACTGGAACTTGAGTCAATGTGCTGCACATGGGAAAACAGTGGGAATAGCCTGGGGAGGAAGCGCATTGCCTTGCAGTCATGAAAAGGAGTTAATCACTTTGGAATTCCCCCAGGTATATGACAGAGAACTGTAGTCATCACAAATGAAATCTTTCATCAGTGGCATTTAACTAGTTATCTCCCTCTCTGACAGGCTGTCTTGTTTAACAGAAAATAGAGTCCTTTTTTTTAAACTCTACTATAGTTGTTTTAGTAATGTTATTTATAATGAGCTTTTGGAGGATTGAAATATGATAGATGAAGTGAAAAAAATCATTCTGAAAGCAGAGTGTTTTTAAAAACCAGAGGCCAGAAATTATATAATGGAGGTTGGTTTGGCTTCCCTAATGTGGGTAACTTTTAAACTGATATAGCTGTTTATTTGCTTTTCCTAAAAGCCCCAGGCTAGTTCAAGCATAACCATTCAATTTAAGCAGAGTCTGATGAAGAGCAGTCCTATGGACTGCGCTAGACTGTGATGGATGTTCACTGTGATCCCTTCTGCCCTTGAGATCCGTACGTATCTGAACGAACCACTGACAACACATGAGAGTTTTGAAACCAGATAATTAAGTGACTGCAGTGTTGGTAGGTACAAAGTAGCAGAAATATGGATGCAAAGCTAAGGGATGTGGGAGAAAAACAGTTGTATATCTTCAATCTCTCAAGACAAAAATTTCAGAAATTTAAACAAAAATTGTGAGTGACTGATAAGGGGAAGAAACTTTAGATTTCAATCTCATAAAATCAGTACGAAAAACAACAGCAACAGCAATGAAGTTTGGATGACTTTTATGTTTACAAAACGACAGATAAGATAAAAGCCACTTTCTTTCTGGAAAGCTGGATAGTAGTAAAGCATTAAAGTACTTTAATTTAAAATGGTATAGGTCAAATGTTGCTTGATTTTTCCCCGCATGTGAACTTTCTTTAACATTTTAGAAAGAAACACATGAAAAGTGGGCTGAAGAAAGCTTGTTGTGGATCCAGACATATAAGGAAGCAAGAAGAGAATGTTCAACTTGGGGAATTCTACTGTTTTTCTTGTGGTAAGAGCATTCCTCCTCTGGTTTTAAGAAATGTAATTGCTTTTTGTTAACTCTTATAAATGTGTGGTAACAGTAACTTTAAAGGGCACTATATGGATTTACACTCTTGAACCTTTTTCATAATGTTCCATGCAAGTATTTTTGCCAAATAAACCATTGATGTTCTTACATAGAATTAACTTGGTGATTAAATTGAAGGTATAAGTTGCAGAAAATTCACCATTAACCTGCTCTAGAGAACGGTGCAGTTCTTAAATACACATAGTGAATTAATCATGAGCTTGTTTCCCTGAACAAAAGCAGTATTTAAAAGATTTTATTGTGAAAGAAGTTTTATCATCCATAATGAAGTGTTATTAAAGTACAGAATGATTTCAAGTGACTAACCCCACATTAGGCCCTGGGAAATGTGTGCTTGGAACAGCTAGAAGCAAGTACAGAGGGCCTGATATAAAGCACGTTGAAGTCAATGACTATTTTCCATTGTCAGCAGTGGACATAAGGTTGTTCAATTTCATGGTACGGAAAAAATTTATTTTATGGAACACACATGCACAGAGAAACAGAACTTGCTCCCTAAATACATGTGCTATTTCCTGATGGTTTTTAATGGAAAACATGTGTGCAGTACATGTGAGGTGAGTACATTGAATTACCCATCTTTTTGTAGGAAATTTGTCAATTTTGCAGGGGAATCAATATCTAATAACAGAAGCTGATAAGCAGTGCTTCAGTTCAGTTGAACATGCTGAAAAAGTGCTGTGAGATATGAGCTTTCATTGGTTATCTGACTCTTTAAAAACCGGAAACTAGAGAAGTTAGACTGTCTTAGAACCAAGCATTGAATTTATGTCTTATTTTTCTAAAATGGGAAATGAAACAGTGAAAAGCGTTTCTGTAAAATGTACATGCCTGCTGATGGAGCAGAAAAAAATTTTTAAATGGTTACAAACTGCATAAGGCTTAAGCAATGACAAAGGTCTCTATAAAATTCATGATCATATATAAGAAATCATAAAAATTCACTAGCTTTAGTGTCCTGGGGAACTGTGTATTCCTCCAGATTATAAATCCCATCATGGACATCAACCTCAGTACAAGAAATAATTGTCATTTGAACTAAAGAAAGAATTTCAACATTTAATATTCACTTCTTAGGTATAATAATTGTTTTAAGTATTTTCTTTCTGGAAAAGGTGGACAGAATCCATGCCTTACCACAGTAAGCTATCCACAAAAGCAGCATCTTTTAACCACCAGCCAATCCTCCAGCCCTATTGAATGAATTACTGAAAAACTGCTGTTGCAATGATCCTCTTGCACAGATTGCAGTTGTCCAAATGGTTTTCTTAAATGTACATCTAGAATAAGAACTCTTAAATACATCTGTGTTAGTAATAATCATGCACAGATCTCTAGCTAATGAAAAGTGTTATTTAAAATAGACCCATTTCTGTCCATAAAATCACTGCCCAGATATGTTGGGGATTTTCAAATGAGAGTCTTGGAAGATCACACTGCATTTTCCTATTTCATTTTAGAAGTCGTTGCAATTTTCTTACCAGGTTTTGGAATCACTTTTGACACCACTGGGTGCATAGTAGTGAATATCCTGGTGGTGGCATGGGGCTTCTCCATGGCAGGATCTCTGTTCCTGCTGGGTCACTGCAAGAGGACCTCGAGTGCAAAGAGACACTGACCAGGGGTGATGAGCAGGTGTGGGGGCTGATTTCCAGAGGGTGACTCCCACTGGCAATAGAGCACAGTGTACTCCATGTGCATCAAGTTCATTTCTGCTGTGCCAAAGCCCTGGAGAGTGTCTGAAATTAGCAGAATCTTCATTATCTCCCCAATGAACACAAGCAGGCACAGCAGCGGTGCCTCTTTCTTGCTCCCTACCCAGCCAGAGCTGCCAGGGACTTTCAGAGCCCATGAGAAATGGCCAGCATGGCCTGAGAGTGCAAGGGAAGCACAGGGAAAAATCATCTGTAGTCAACATGGTCTTTGTGGCTGCCACACCAGGGAGACCATTGAGAGTATCACTCTGGAGTGAGAATTGCGTGCCTTTATTTAAAAAGGTGTTTTTTACAACAGTCTCTACTGCCAGCCAGTCACAAATTCACAACTAGTGCAACTCACCAATCCAACATGACTGGTTGACTTCTAGAAGAGCTTGCAAAATCAAGACACTGGAATAATCCAGTTAAATAGTACCGTGTATTGAAAGAACAGCAAGGAAACTTCATAATTGTTAAATACACTAAATAGAGGGTCTACACAGAAATAGTAGATGCACTAACTAAAGGGTCTTAATACATATGGTAAATGTACTTATTAAGTGGTCTTTATATATATATAGTAAATTTTGTAACTATTGGAGGTTAATATGTACAGGCTCTGTCCAGAGGCCCCACAAGCACAGCTCTGGGAACAAGCATCCCTTTCAAGGGCCGTGGATGAGCAGTTTTTTCAGCCGATGCAGCAGGTGAATGTACTCCTGCGTGGCCTTCACATGGGCATTGGGATTGCTGGCCAGGTGCCGAAAGAGGTTCAGTGGTTCAGCCAGCCGCAAGTCAGAGGGCAAACTGATCTCCATAGGAAACCTCTCATTGCCTATGACAAAGTGGTCCAATTGTTTTGTCTTCAACGAGCAGTGGAGGTACTTCAAGGTATCCATCAGCCACCACCCTAAATCCTTCCTGCGCCACTGGATCAGGGGCACAGTGCTCAGGAGGTGCATCACCACAGTCTTCAGGGCATAGCTGTAAAAAGCTACACCTGTTTTGGCTGCCGGCAAGGAGCTGCAGGTTCTTGCAGTGCCAGCTGTTCAGGGGGGCCTGCCTGGAAATGTGCCTGAAGAATTTTGCCTCTGCCATGGCATAAGTCTCCAGCCACACTGTGCTTGCCATGCCTACTTGTGATGGCTGGCTACCCACAAAGATGTCTGAGTTTCCTTGCCGCACTCCAAAGACCATCTCAGCCATGCAGCTTTCCTTGTCCTTGCTTAGCTGAAATTTACAGGACCGGCTGGAGGGCTGCAACATTAAATGCCAGTGGCAGGACTCAGGCAAAAACAGCCAGGCTACTCTCACAAAGCGACAGAACCACTGGACAGTTTTCTCCACATCTAGGTAGGAGCCAGTGCAGAGGGTGTGCAGGAGGCAGGACTCCTGTTTCCTTCTCAGCTCCTCCTCAGGGTGGTGGAGGAAACATAACATGTCCTTCCCCAACTGCTTCCTCATGCAAGTGCACAGCAGCTCCACACGGACACAGAAGCTCCTCTGGGCCATCCCCGCAGTGTCCAGCTCCAGGTGGAAGGCATGTCCTGGAGGGGGACTCAGGGGTACAAGCACACAGTACACAGCATCGCATGCACGGGGACCCCAACCTTCAAAGACACTGCCCACTCCAATGGCTTCTTGTGGCACTAGGTAGAAACTGTCTGATAAGCCTTGGCAGAAGATCTCCGTGAGTTTGTCCACCGGGTCAATTATCATTGAGCAACCTTTGTCCAGGTTCTCAACAGGAAATACAATGAGTTCATCTGAAACGCTTCCAAGGTTACTTTTAACTTTCTGGTGATAGTCTTCTTCCACATTTCCATTGTTTCTTCCTACTTCTTTCCTTGCCACAACATTGTTGCCTTCTTTCTCCTCCACCAAGTTGCTGTTGGAGCTCTCCTGTCCACTGTTATCTGGATTGCATCTAATTTTTTTGAGTCCAAACCATTCAGCACGCTGCTCCATGCACCCCAGCACGGCCTCATCCAGCCCATCGCCAGCCTGCTGCGGGTACTGGAGGAGGCCTTGCACAAGCAAGAGGAGGAACGTGGTGGCAACCATGGCCTCAGCAGGTGACAAATGGCTTCAGTGGGGGTGGGAGGGAGGGAAGAACTACTAAGGGAAGTGGGGACAGGAGCCCCGGGCATCTGAAGGCAGGACACAGGGCCCAGGCAGCTGGCAGGCTGCGAGGCCTGTGCTGCTGCCCCAGCAGAAGCAGCAGTGTGCCATGCCAAAGGCACTCCCACCTGGGACTGGCCTCTGGATGCCCTGTGAGAAGTGGCTCCCCGCGAACTCTTGCTTCTGCCGTGGGCCTCGGTAGGTGATCAGCACAGCTTCCTGTCTGTGTGCACACCCACCACTCGCCAAGGGTGCCCTGGGGCAGCGTTGTCTGCTGCTGCTGTTTCTAGCTGTCCCCATTGCAATGCTGGTGCCATGATGTCACAGCTGCCAGAGTGCATCCCGGCCAGGCCAGCCCTGCCCTCCATCTCTACCTCAGCTCTGGGACTCAGAATGGCCCCAGGGAACCAAAGACCTGATACACACCGAGAGGAGAAGCACGGGTCACAATAGACCCCCAGGGCTTCCCTGGACCAAACAGGCTGAAGCCCACTGAACCCTTTTCAAAGACGAAATTGGCTTACATGACCCATGATTGTTTTGTTCCTGGAAATCTCCTGCCTTGAGATGCAACTGGATCCCTTGGTGCTGACCTCTGTGCTTTTGGGAGTGCTCTTGGGACCTCAGTTACACCCCTGGGTGTGTAGTGATGACTATCCTGGTGGGGGTGTTGGGCTTCTCCATGGCAGGATCTCTGTTGCTGCTTTTTAAATTTATTTTAATGGATTTTTTAAATGTCTTTGCAATTTTCTTAACAGGCTTTTGAGTCACTTCGACTGAAGTACTGATTTTGAATGGCCTTGAATTAATTTCCTTTATACTATCTATGTTTTGGATTTGTGTTGAAAGCAGTTTTGATAACACAGTGATGTGTAAGCCAGTTCTGAGCATTGTTTGCACAGAGCCAACACCTTTTCTTCTTTTCAATGTGGAGGCTGAGGGTGTGCAAGAACCTGGCCAGGAATGCTGCTGGGACAAAGGGATGCATTATACTATTTGTTGTTGTGCTCAGCAATAAAAGTTGGGGGAAGAAAGGAAGGGATGGATGTTTGGATTGACGGCATTTGTCTTTCCAAGTCACCATTATATGTTATAAAGCCCTGCTTTCCTGGGCATGGGTGAGCACCTGACCGTGGGAAGTGGTGACTTGTTTCCTTGTTTTGCTTTGCTTACACATGTTGCTTCTGCTTTACCTGCTAAACTCTGTTTAACTCAGCCTCAAACCACAACACCTGGCCACAGTACAACAGTTGAGGCTCTCTCATATGGGTGTTTTCTCACATTATCACCATGACACGCTGACTTTGGGTAGCAACATACAGTTTTAACACTATCACTTCAGTGGAAGAAAGGAACAAACTCCAATGAGTTTCGAGAAAGCAGCCAAGACGTACAACATATTTTCTCTTCAGGTCAAATTATTTTTAAATTAACAATGTAACTAATAATCAGCTCCTATTTCAGGTTATTTATTACTATTACAAATCAAAGTAAGTTAAAAACAAGGAAGAGAGTACAAGTGGAACAAACAAGAAAAAGCAAGAGAAAGCAAAAGGCAACACTGAATTCGAAATAGGGTGAAGAAAAAAAATTGATGCTTTTTCCCTTGTATTGCTTCTCTTACAGCATTTAAACAGGCCCATACTATAGCCTTCTTTTACAATGAATCTTACAAATTGAGAGGATCTGCTTTTAATTCTTCTAGATGGTGTGGGAGAGGAGAAGCAACTTTAGTGCTTTATTTCCTGACCCTATAAACACTTATGGATTTTGCCTGCTTTCAAGTGTGAAGGCCCACTGACATGCAGAGGGACTACTCAGAGGCTTAAATTTAAGCAGGTATGTAAGTGCTTGTGGAGCTAGGGCTTTTTTATATTTATTGACTGACAGGTTCATTGCCCTACAGGGAGTACTTCACTAGAGTACTTGCAGTGACTTTTTTTTCCTTTTGGAAAGCTCACTTTTGGTCTAGCCCTAGTTACAGCTCCACAGATTTACACTGTGGGAAGACCTGGAGCAGTGCCACCAAAGGTAGGCTTTGGTCAAGGCTGTTGGATCAGTGGTGGCCTGGGTGAGGGCTGCAGTGACAGATTCCTTGTGCTGTCAAAATGCGTGTTACGTGTATTACATGACATCCACAGCCCACCCTGAGAAATACACTCCTCTCTGTGTTAGGAGAGGAGCTTCTGGGACAGCTTTGAAGACATCAGACAAAAAAGAAGTATGAGAATGGGTTAGAGTAGATGATGCTGATAATTGCATTGTTTATAGTTCTTTGGGGAGAGAACTTAAGGGCTACAAGAATTGCCCCAGGTTTAGCTTTGCAGAGAAGATGACCTGCATGCTGGGTCTGGGGGGATCTTCACCACCACAACCCCTTCCACAGAGCTACATTTTGTGGCTTTGGGCTGATACAAGCAAGGAGGGAAACATGTCCCAGTTTTTACACAGGATTTGCTCGTGTGATCTTTAGAAAAATCCCAAATTTCTTCTTAGCATTACCTTTAACTTTTGAGAGGATTTTCCCTCTTTTTTTGTGAAATCAGAATTTGTCCTCTTTTTAATAGCTCCTAGAATGTCACCTTCATACTGTGCTCCAAATGACATGCATTAAAAAATCCCACCAGTTATTGAATTTGCATGTATATTTCCTCTTATTAATACTTTGCTGTTAGTCCACTCACTACCACTGATGGAATTTATTAATCCATTGAAGCCTGTTCCTGAACTTCTTTGGAGTAAAAATTATTCTATGCAACATATCAACTATAAAAAATAATGAAGACTTAAAACAAGTCCGATTTGTAGAAGAAGGTGTTGTATTTCTCTTTGGTAAAAATCTAAAATCACACAGTCTATGAGAAACGGTATGCAAAGCAGACTGCTCTTATGATCTACTGTTTGATCTTTTGGCATGAATATTTGTGTTAATTGTACTTTCACCCCATAAAGTTCATTCTTTCCTAAATACATTAGAGTGATATTAGAAATGTTCCTATAAAAATAACACCTTTTTATTATTGAATGGTCTGCTAATATAGCTACAGCAAAAGATCATCAATCTTTTCATTATAAATATAAATCTATATTTTCGGGGACTTTAAACTCTGCTATAAATACTCATTTCAGGCTAACATTTGGAATGTAAAACTGTATCCACACAAACAAAGCTTTTTATTCTTAAATTGTTTTAGCCATTTGAATACATCTTAAAGCAGACAAAGTAGAAATAGTTGCATGAGGGGGTTTTGTTGCTCTTTTTCTTTTTTTTACTCTGATATATTCTTAGAGTATGAGGAAGGAAGGAAGGAAGGAAGGAAGGAAGGAAGGAAGGAAGGAAGGAAGGAGCGAGCTGGGGTTGGAGGGCTGGGTAGTGTTTCCTGCTGGTGCCAAGTCACTTCTCTTCATTGTCTGGTTCTGCTCAGGCCAGGCTGAGTTCAAGGGTCATTTTGTCTTTGGGTTTTTTCAGGTTTGGGGACTTTTCCAACCACTGGATTTCCGGTATAGTCTTCCCAAGGCACAGTAATGTCATACTTGAAAAACTACTTCTGACACCCTGTCAAATTTTTCTTATGAAATGGAAAGTTGTTAAGTCCCTTCTGCTCCCATGAGCTCCTCAAAGATCTGAACTCTGAACCTAAGTGTGTGTGAGGTCCTTACTGGTAAAGTTTGAGGTGGGATAATCTTGACATCAGACTAGTAAGGCTTCCCAAGCTCATCACATCCTTTGGCCAGTGCTGAAATGTAACATCTTTCTGAACATTAATACAGTTTTCTCACTTTTTTTTTTTTTTTTAATAGTGGTTTCAGACATATTTCAGCTTGTGTTTCATGATCATTTTAGACTGCCCTGGGTAGCAGCTCTTGCTGAAAGTAGTTAGTTGTGTCACTTGTCCTTCCTATCCTGGGAGTTTCTGCAGTTCCTGTGTTTGCATAGTCAAGTAAACCCAGAAATATGCATGGGTGTGAGTTGGGTTTGGGACAGACAAAGCTCCCTATCCACCGCATCAAGTGTCCCACAGGGATAATGCTCATGCTCAGCAAGGCACTGGGAAAATCAGACTGTCCCCCTCTCACCTGTCCTGGTTTGTTTCACATGAAACAGTAAAACTGCAGCAAGTGATGCTTAAAAGACTCATTGAAAAACTACCATTCCTTGCAGATTGCTTAAAAGGATTTTCTGAAGTTTTTGTTTCCTTGGAGTGTCCATAGGAATAAAATGCCATCAGGTCCAGGTGCCCATAGGGAAAAAAGCCCCATCACCAGGACAACATTGAGAAAATTGCAAATCTTTAGTCTAGGAGGAACAAAAGCTAGATAGCCTGTGCTTGACAGCGCTGCAGACAGCCTTGGTCAGCCAAAAGTCTGTGCATGTGCATCCGGAGGAGGGGGAATGAGCAGGTGCTCTTGATCACTCATAGCCTGGAAATGCATGAGCTGAGAGGAGACCAAGAGCACACAAACCCCTCAGACTGCAAACCAAGTCACAAGTGGGTGGGGTCATAGGCTTTGTTGCTTTTTAATGATGATTTGCAGGGCCCGGCAGTGGCAAACAGTGCAAGTAGTTGGTAACACCAGAAACGAGCGTGCAGGGGATTTCTGTGGTTGCTAAGAGCAACCTGCTCTAGCCGGAGATATTTTATTATGCTCAAAGGTTTATTCTGAAAGCCCCAGGGTTTATAAATTGAAAAGTGAAACAACACAAGAAAAGCCCCTGTGCCACCTCACAATTAGCTGTGAAATTTCTGAGGCCTTGCTTTCACCTGTGCCTGCCCAGTTGGTCTCGCTGGGCCTTGGCTCAGCTCAAGGCATGACCATGCCTCAGCTGTGCCAGCACACTTCTCACATCCAGGAGAGTGGAGGCAGTGCTGATATTAGAGGGACATTCTTGCTGGCTGCTATCAGCCCTTACACCCTGTTAATAATCATAATATGTTTTTCTC